CCATCATTTGGTGAATTGGAAAGAGACATTTGCGATTTAGTAAACGATGAAGAGGATGTTGAAATTGAAGATTATTCGGAGTATGTTGACAACGGAAGACCATTAACAAACTAGTTTTAGTATATCAATACTACAATTTTTTTTTAGCAAAATTTGAGTGAACGTTCAGGTAGTGCTGAATGTTTCGCACCATAACTTTGTACGTTACTATTGAAAATATCGAAATATATAGATATATGAATGGGTCAAAATAAAAATCCGACTTGTACGCAGAGTCTATGAAAGTGGAACATGGAGTTTTTTACATAGTTTATTTGTTGTAATACAACAACAATTTTATGTAAAAAAGACGCTCTGTGTTCCACTTTTATAGACTCTGCGTACAAGTCGAATTTTTATTCTGACCCATTCATATGTTGTATTGAAAGCAAATGATTTCGCTAAGTGCACTCATTAATTGTGTTCGAGTAGATTAAAAATCTTGAGATTTTTTGGATAGATTTCTAGATTTTAGTGGGGAACACACAAAACAAAAAAATTTCATTTATTTCCGCCGTCAACTATTGACACGTATTTTGATGTGATATATGCTATATCTTCCATTAAATGGTAAAACCACATAAAAATGCGAATAAACTTAAATAACACATTAAAAGTTGTAATATAAGTAATTTTTTTCATTTCGAGACAGTAATTTTTATGAATTTTTAGCAAAATTGGTATAATTCAAGTGCAAGTCGGGAGGCCTAAATGGCAACTTTTTGGAAAAATGTTGGTACATCCTGATTCGGGGCGCCAAGACACATATAAATCCAAGTGTACACATCAATACTCCAAAAAAAGATCAAAAACGCTCCACCCTATTGTATAATGGTGTGACCATGAAAATAGTCGATGATAATGGAAATCGATGTGGTGCCAATGTCGATGGTGAAATATGCACAAAGACGAAGTATATGTTTATTGAGTATTTGAATGATCCAAAGACAACAGCAGCGTCTTTTGACAATGAAGGCTTCTTTTTAACGGGAGACATTGGTCATTTTGATGAAAATGGAACATTGCACATTAGCGATCGCAAAAAAAATATTTTCAAGATATTTTACTTTCGAGTTCCTTTTTCACCATCTCAAATTGAGAGCTATCTTATCACATTGCCAGATGTTCAAGAAGTTTGCATTGTTGGAATTACGACTGGTGCTGATGAAGAATTGCCAGCCGCTGTTATCGTACGAAATTCAAATTCATCCTTAAACGAACGAAGTTATTATGAATTGGTTGCACGTAAGATATTAAAACTAAAGCAAGACAATATATGAGAAACAAATGCTATTCACCATTTAAATTTTCATTTAGATCATTTTCCAAAACGGGAATGGCTTAGTGGTGGAGTCTACTTTGTTGATTCGTTACCGAAAACTGTATCTGAAAAAATCATTTGACGAAAAGTAGCCGAATTGGCCACGGAACTATGCCATAAGAGAGGAATCAATGATCCTGATATTCAATCGTATATTGCACACATTCCGGAAGATAATCACAAACTTATTGCTCGAGGCATTTAAAAGAAAGTTTAAAAATAAAGTTTATCGTATGCTCCAAATATTTGCATGGGAATTGTTTATTTGAAATGTTCAAGTGTGTAATCGATGGGAACTGCGTTTTTGTCAAATCATTTCCTTCCAAATTCAGCGAATTCAATTTATTTGAACCGAATGCAAAATCCACCGTTTTCAAGTTATTATAAGACAGATCGACTTCGTTGATTTTGGGACGATTTTCAAATACATTGGCATCAATGAAACTTAAGCTTGTGTTTCTTAAAGGATCGAGTACTATCTGTCAAAATATTTCCCCCTATTCCAAGCGAAATTAATTCGATATACGGCGCTGATGTAAATGTCACTCTGTCATTTCACAATAATACTTTTTTTGGCTTGACAATAATAAGCTCTCCAATTAAAATGCATACACATTCATAATTATTGAATCGTTGAAAAAAAACATGTCATAAAATATTTTTCTAACATTTTTAATTAAAAATTTTATAAAAAATTTTTTTTATAAAAAAATTAATTTGTTTATAAATTACAATAATTTCAAAAAAAATGTTTCATCGATTAACCCTCAAACGCACATGTGGGGTCTCTTAGGCCCTAAGAGTTAGTTTTTTGAAAAAAATCACAAAAATATAAAAAAAAATTGGAAAATTTCGCTGAGCGTTTTCTTTTTCAATATAATATCTATGTGATTAAATCAAAAATTTCAATGTTTGGTGCATAGATGAAGTTTTGGGAAGTCTTATACAAAATACCAACGTAAAAGCACAACGGGGTCTTTTGGACCCCAAAGTATTTTGTATGGGAAATGATGTATTCTGTATGGGCCAATATGAAACTCATGGAGATTTTTTGACACAACAATTTACATTTCATCAAACAACAACACAGTAAATTGTTTCGTCCGT